CGGCCCCGTCGCGCCGCGCCGGCGCGGAGGGCGCAACCACCGTCAGTGCGCCACTCTCCGTGCCGATCTCATGCTGGTCGGTGTCTGCGTGCCACTTTGCATCCGCAAGCCGCAAGGCGGGTATAGAGATGGCACGCTTCGGCTGCAGCGTGTCGTCGTTGTCGGCTGTGTCAACGACGTGCGCCTGCAGCTTCAGCAGGGATTCCATCGTCCGCCCCAATATTAATTGGTCTGGGTGCTGCAGTCCTTTCCTGCAGAGTAAACTTCAGGGAAAGTATGCCCTCCACCCCCAACAACAACAAGAAAACACCAATACCAACAAACATAGAAGCAGGAAACAATATTCTCGCAAGAGGATTGAAGAGCAGATGCGAGTACTCCCCCTACTCAATGAACTCGGAAGGGGGAAACAAACAAAATAAGCCACATACACATACACACACACACATATATATATATATATATATGTGAAGGATCTCCATGACAAACTTGCATGAAAAAACAAAAGGCTCGGCATTGTGATGTCACCACTATTTTCAGTACATAGCATAACATATAGGGCAAAAACAAAACAGGCAAAATGCATTGTATACATACCTTTTTCATTCACCTGAACCAGTTCAGGACGCGCTCGGTACGGTGCGGACAATACCGTAGTGCACTGATGGGTCCACGCGCCGAAGTGCCTCTTTGCAGCGCCACTTCTGTAGCAGCGCGGTAGAGTCGCGCAACGTGAGGGTTTCACAGAGCAGCATATCCTCCGCCACGGTGCCGGCGTTGATGTGGTCGCGCAGCGTTTCACCAATAGCGAGCAACACGCTAATAGCCTGCGTGCCACCTCTACGCAGCGCGTACTCCATCACTGGAACCTCCGCGTCCTTCAGCGGGTTCGCCTGCACCGTCACGACACGACAGCGAATCATCAGATAGCGCACCGCGTACACGTTACAGGAGTGCTTCTCAAAAAGCAGAGTGTGAAGTGTCTCGGGTGTCAAGTACGTCCGCGGCACCATCGACAGCGCCTCGAATGCCACACGCACAGAATCCTCTGCCATGTGGCACTCCTCACTGCACTCACATATGCTGAAGTTTCCAACACCGATGCCGCTTACAATGCTTTTGGCATGGCGTTTGGACCGCTGCTGCCGATGTGACTGCGAAGAAGAGGATGTGGTGCTCTCATGGAGGGATGTCTGCGAGGGGAACTTCTGCAACCGGGGACGTAAGGGTGTGCGTGCAGGTGAGCTCGTGCTCTGCAGCACATTGCTGTACGCCTTGCGGCGCTCCTGTATCCTTTCCAACAGAACCATCGTGCGGGCACGCGCTAGCGTCTCCTCGTCAAATTGATTCTCCCGACAGCGGTAGTACAGCTCGTTCCAGAAGGTGTCGAGGAAGAGCTCGAGATGCTGCACGTTTTCTTGTGTGCGGTCGAGCACCCATGCCTGCAGGAGGTCGCCGAAGGGGCAGCGTTCCTGCGGGCCCAACACCGCAAACAGCGGCGTCATGGAAAGCAGCAGCTGCACCATACAAAGGCTCTTGAAGCGCAGGAGACACATGTAGAGCAGGCGGAAATACCCCGACTGTGTCAGCTCCACTGGCGTGTGGACCTTCTCCGTCTTCTTACGCAGCAGGTACTGGAAGAGCTCGTGGTGGGCATCGGGGAGACCGAACAACTGCGGTATGCGTGAGCGCACCACAACCGACCTGCGGCTCTCCGTCTCAGGCAAGATGATGCCACGCCGTGCCGGCGTCGTGGTCAGCACAAGCAGCAACATGACAAGGTCACTCTGGTACAGCCGCTGCGACCGCAGCAGGGTGGTGGACGCATCAGCGGTGCCACTGTCCTCCACTGGAAGGAGCGAAAAGGCGGACGTCACGAGGGGGTCACGCCGCGGCTTCCCGTCCTCCACGCGCTGCAGCAGCGCGTGGCCAACACACTCCATCAGTGTGAACTGCGAGGGCGCTTCGCCCTCCAGTTCGCGCATCTGTCGTCGACGCAACTCCGTCACGACGGCATGCAGGAATGGGGACAGCACGAAACGTGAGCCCTCTTTCTGCAGCGCGCGCTGGAGAAATGCGTCCGCTGCAGCGGCACCGTAGTTGGCCACCCTTCTCAGTGATTCGGTTTCCTCATCACTATCATCATAGTCGTCACCATTGTCATCATCGAAGCCGGCGCGGTCGTCATTATCGTTGTTGTTTCTGTCGGCGTCATCTTCACCTGCAGTCGGTGCGGATGCCCAGGCGACCAGGAGGGGCTTCGGTAAATTCATGAGCAGCCAGAGCAGCAGCCGTATCCCCACTACAGAGCTCAGGTGCCGCGTGAGAATACGCCGTGAGGGTACCACGCACACCTTCAGTAACGCTTCCATCGTCTCAATGATGCCCGTTTCCCCCACGAGCGTCGCTGCGGCGTTGATATGCAGCCGTGGGTACACCGGCATACCGTGGTTGAAATACATGGGGGTAAAAAAGAGGTTGAAGTCTAGCACGGCACCTGGCAGCGGGTACGGCAGCCGCGTCGATGCCGTCGCGTAGACAGAAAGCATCATGCGGTGTATCGTGGTGCATATGGGGAGCGCCACCTGCAGGTCGATGCGCAGCCACGCCTCCATGCATGCGAGGGAGACGGGCTCGCGCTGCGAGAGACAACAGCGCAGCGCGGTGGGGCTTTGCAGCGCGGCGAGCATCAGTGCGTCGATGCAGATCAGCGTGTCCATGTCCAGTTGTTGCGCCGACGGCACGCCGTCGTCCTCCTCTTCCTGCTGTTCCTCACCAGCCTTTGCGCCACCTTCCTTTACTGCCTCCGCCTCCTCCTCTTCTTCTTCCTCCTCTGCTTCCTCTTCATCCTCCTCCTCCTCCTCCTCTTCTTCTTCTCCGTCGTCATCATCGTCATCCGTTCGCCCACCGCTCTTCCGCTTCGTTGTCGCCTTCGACGCCGCGGTGTCGGCTGAGTGTCTGCCGGCCCGCGGCGGCAATTCGTCGAGCAGGTACCACCGCCGCCCATTCGCCGCGCGTACCAAGTAGAAGAGACGATTTGCGTCCGTGAAGCGCAGCACTGTCAACGCCGGCGGTGATCGCGACTGCAGGCGTGTCATGGGGAGTTGGTGCTGCTTCTCCTCCTCGTGGTCCCCGTCGCTGTCGCCCTCCGGGGGCTGAAACGCCTCGCCGAACGGCGTTCCCTGCGCCGCTGCCGACGAACCTCCGCCGTCGCCGCCCGCCACCGTCCCCACATCGGTGACCGTGGCGCTGCGGCTGTCACCGTTCACACCATCCTCCTCTTCCTCTTCCTCTTCCTCCTCCTCATCGTCGTCGTCGTCGAGCGGAGTCGCCCCGTCTGCGCCACCGTTCTGCAACGTTTCAGATCTTTTTGTTGCCGTCTTTGAATCGAGACGGTCGTCGCCCGGCGGTGGTGGCGGCGGCGCCGCGTAGCCGTACATCATCTGCAGCGCCCGCTCCCAGTGGAACACGTCGTCGCTGAGCAGGTGTGGCAGCCACGGCGGGCATACATGCCGCTTGTTCCAGACACTGCTCTCAGTGGCGTTGTCGTCGCCCTCATCTTCCTCCCCCTCCTCATCATGCTGCTGCTCCTCCTCCTCCTCCTCCGCTTCCTCGCTGCCGTTGTGACGCCGTGCAGTCTTCGCCCCGCGGAGAGGCGCCAAGGCATTGAGTCGAACACTCACCGCCACCTTCTCCGCGCCTTGGCCGGGGAGCTGCAGCAGCAACTCCCGCACAGCCGGCTTACACGGCGGCAGGTTCTCCTCGTCCGACGCCTTCTTCAGCTTCTTGTTAGTGTCATCCTTCTCCACCGCGCCATCGCGTCCCTCCTCTTCCTCCTCCTCCTCCTCCTCCTCCTCTTCGTCGTCGTCCTTCTGCTTCTTTCGCCCGCCTTTCTTCGTACCACTCTTGCTGTTGGAGTCTGCGTCCTCNCCTCGTCCGACGCCTTCTTCAGCTTCTTGTTAGTGTCATCCTTCTCCACCGCGCCATCGCGTCCCTCCTCTTCCTCCTCCTCCTCCTCTTCGTCGTCGTCCTTCTGCTTCTTTCGCCCGCCTTTCTTCGTACCACTCTTGCTGTTGGAGTCTGCGTCCTCCTCCTCCTCTTCCTCCTCCTCCTCCGCTAATTCTTCTTCCACATCTTCTTCCTCTTCAAGCAGCTCCTCATCCACGTCATCATCATCGTACGGCTTTGCCGGGCGCCCGCTCATATGTGTGCTCCTCACCCCCGCAGCAACACAACGCACAGCAGACACACACACACAAACAAAACAACGAAAGTAAGGTGAAGAAAAGACGATGGTGCACAATCATAATATGTGAGAGGAAACACAAATACCTACATACATACGGGTATATATATATATATATGTATACAGAGGGAGAGAGAGTGAGAGTGAAACAGGCGAGGAACACTGACAAAATTCGAGAGCTTCATTGATTATCTTCTGACACGGCCACACACATCCCCCCTCTCTCTCTCTCTCTTTCTTTCTTTCTTTCCTTCCCCGCCCCCTCTGAGTTTTCTTTCCCTCCTTCTGCGCGCTTCATCGCCTCCACACGTGACAATACAGTGGAGTGGCCATGACTAAGGTATATATAAAAAAGGCTGGTTGGTTGATTGATAAATATGAGATGATGTCTCTCCTAATACGTGCGCCATGCGCCGCTGCAGCATGGCATAATGCATCTCGCACAGACACTTGCACAAGCTGAGCTCACACCTCCACGAACAGAACCTCCATCGCAAGCAGGATGCAGCTCAGAATGCCATACTTCATGATCATATGCAGCTGCTGGTCCTGCACGTAATCCTTCCCCGTGATCTCCATCGTGTACGTGACGTGCTTCGTGCCAATCACAACAACATTGTACGCCAGCACGACAAGCAGGGCTGTGCCAAGCGGGGAGTACAGCAGCGTGCTGAGCGACAAGCAGGCGGGCAGCTGCAATGAGTGGGCCGTGAGGTTCGTCATCAGCTGTGAGACGGCACGACTCTCGGAGCGCAGCGCGGAGCTGCTCCTGCCGCCGCCAGCAGCAGCAGCCACGCAGCCCATTGCAAGGGACGACCGCAGCGCGGCATTCCCCCCCAGGAGCGCCCGACGAGCAAACATTGTTCTTTTTTTCTTTTTTTGGGTTTCCTGTTTTTCTGAGGGCTTGAGTCCCGGGAAATAAAAATACTGTCTTTTTCGCTTCGCTACCTTCTTGACTGTGTCTGCGCGCCACTGGCAGAAGCGCGCGCGCACCAAAGGCGTTGCCCCCACCCCCGCAATCCCACAGCGCCAGCAGCGCACCACAAAGGCGGGAGAGAGACAAAGAAACACACAACGAAAAAAAAAAAAAANAAAAAAAAAAAAAACAGGAGTGAATCGTGCAGGTCCTGAAGCAAACACCGGGGCCACAAAACACACACACACACAAAAAAAAACAAAAACCGAACGACACCACAGATTCTCATCACAGCGCTGCTGCCACTGCTGCAGTGAAAGGGGGAAAAAAAAAGAGCATGCAGTCAGGGAAAGTATGCAGAAGTGAGTGGATGAGGGGGGAGGAGAGGGGAGGGATTTAACGGGACGTGGAAACGAAAGAACGGGAATATATAAAGAGTGAGTGCAGGAGGGGAGTCTGTAATTTTGTTGTAAACAAAACCAAAGGGATACTTTAAAGGTTTCTTTTTCATTCTTTGACTTTTCTATTTTAGCTTCTTTCTTTTTTTTCTTTCTCTGCCTTTCTCTTTTTTTTT